ATTATTATTATTATTATTATTATTATTATTATTATTATTATTATTATATTGACTTATTTTGAGTAATACTGTCATGTATATTTTAAAAGTGAAAAAAGTGAAAAACTGAAATTTTAATTGGTGTAAAATGATCAATTTTATTCAAATCGTCTTTTTTTCTCTTAATCGATGGCAGAGTTAAACCATGTATATAAAAACTATCATTTCTAATTGATGAAAGTATTAACACTAAATTTAAAGGAACTCAGGGTAAATCAACTACAGTACTATGAAACTACTTTTGGATAAGGTCCATTCATTTGAATCATTTTGCTGAAAAAAGATAAAGCAAAACATGACAGACACGATAAAAGAAAATCAAACAAATTAAGATTTCAACATTGGACTTTGTTGTGAAAAAAGTGTATATTTTTTAGGTGAAATAGAAAAAAAAGCATCTGAATTAGTTGCCAGTAAACAGCTAAATGTGCTAAATAGCCATCAGGAACTATGACACAAACAAGAGACTTGGTGAAACTATTTATAACCCTAAACCAGCTGAATGAAATAGGATTTCTATCAAGAGAAAAACAACAAATGAACTAAACTCCAGTATGGGAGTAAACAAGGTTACAGTGTGCTGAAGAGAGGCCGACATGAGCTGTGGATGATTGGATGAAGGAGTTCAGTAGGAGGGAATGACGCTGAGACCTTTTGAAAATACATTCCCACCTCTCTGATTCCATCAAGTTACGATCAATTAAACCTAGTTTGGTGATGCTTTGGCAATTTTTCCACAGTGACATTAACCTGACGATGTTCAGATTAATAAATTTCAGTTAAGGGGTGGATGCTTTTCTCCAGGGAAGACATTACGAAACAACCAGAGAGCCAAGAACACAACAACTCAGCTCTGCAAAGCTGATTTGCCAAAAGAGAAAAAGGGGGAAAGTTAGAGTCAGACCGATGAAGACTTAGATTGAGTTTGTTACATAAATCCCTGTGATGGACTGGACACCTGTCCGGGACGAGCCAATGACAGCTGGGATAGACCCCACATGAAAATGAACAGATGTGTGTTTTACAAAGTTAATGTTATCTTTCAAAAACTAGCTGAGAAACTTCCCCCAAGGGCAGCTATTCCACTCTCTTTGCCAAAGGTTGCAGCACTAATCCAGCTTTGCTCTGCAAAGAGCCTTCCTGTGTCCATTAACTGGCCACCGTCCTGCCTATTAACCTTAACTCCAACCAAATTAACCCCAAATTTCCCTCATGCTTAGACTTACTCAACACAGACTTTCCAAACCAGCACAGCCAAAGGACAGACTCCTTTTTTTTTTTTTTCAGAAGACTAAAACTAACATCCCAAGGAGGGGACAGTATTTTGTGTATTTGTGTCCAAATCAAACATTACAAATCCAAAGTTCAACGGGCAGAGGGATCTGTGGTCACCTGTTTTGGTTGAGCTTCT